ATATGCGTTCAAAAATGAGCCGAAAGTACTAAGAGTATCGTTGTTATCTGTTTATTGAATTCATTTTATCGAGATATAACGATACTCTCAATGCTCTCGACTCGTTTTCGAACACACCTATGGTGCTGTGAAATACATCAAAATGTTAGAACAAACAGACCTATTATACATATCGAAGATGATACGGCTCCAAAATTACATTTAACGTTATCACCCACACAGCATTTTATATCCATAGAATACCCATAAGATGTCCGGCATATTCAAAGTGAATATCCACTAGATATCTATCTATATCGAATTATAGATATCCTATAGATATCCCTAGGATATCCAAAGTTCCCACTTTTGGAAATTTAAGTTTTTTTTTTGTTATATACTCCTCTATCCTCTATAGCTTTTCTTTCCTAATCATCCATTCTCGATGATGGATACATCAAGAGCCCCACATAAGAGTGCATAGCGCACTGTAGATGGGCACAACAGTATCTGAGAGAACTCCTCACATCCTGGAATTCTTCAAAACTCCTATCGACCTCTCACAGCGACGACGATAAAGGAAAGGGAAAATAGGACTTTTAAATTCCTAATATTGCATAATTCCCTTGAAATTAGTCACAGCAACAGTCATGAGGAAATAATATTAGAGATTATTACCTTTAATATTCTAAGAATCCAAAGTCCAGTTATGCGACTGGAATCAACACAAACAAGTGCCCAGGTAGTTGAAGAAACCGCTAATCCAATTAATCAAATCAAACAGTCAAATCAAATAATAAGTCAAAATATGAAATCCAAAAAGCGGCGTTAACGCCTTAGGAGAATAAAAATCGTTATCCCCACTAGAATTAACGTATTCCTCTCAAGGATATAAACAGCGACTTCCTCGATAGGAATTCACTTTGTGCTCGATTTCGTTCTAGGATAACACCGAAAGACAACAAGAAGAAGTATAATTGTGGAAAGTATAATTGTCAAGAAGCAAGTAGGAAATCTATCCTTTACTTCAGAGCGAACCAGTGAACAGTATTGTACTGCAAACTGTGGGAACTCATCCTGGGCAATTCTTGGTCTTGGAGAGCATTGCGTGTCAACCCTGTATCAGGAAATATGCTATTCCTGTAGATTTTCTGCAGCAAAGTCATTGTGCCGGAGCTGTCAGAAATCGACCAAAAACATCAAGCCTCTGTCTTTAAAAAGCTCAGCTCCCAATATCATTGTGATTAATAGCTGCCTGAGCTCTCCACTGTTCTTACCAGGCCTAAGGAATTATTGCGATGCCCCCTAGTATTAGGAAGAACATCCCAAACACCTCTGCATCGTCCTGCAGTGAAGTTATTGTAATAGAACTGCCAAGATTGCAGATCCACCTCAGCACAACCCGCGTGAAAAGACTCAGCTCCCAATGTCATTTTGATTAGTAGCTGTCTGAGTTTCACCCATCTTCAAGATAAGAGATTCGGCAAACGGGGGTCATTGTGATCATCCGAGGGTTCTGAATCATTATTATCCCCATCATCAACTGGACTATAAGTCTTCGGACTCATTGTGCAAACTGCTGTATTATAGTTCTAGCTATCTCTGTCCCACGCCTAGAAGCTAGTAATATCACGAAAGAAGAAACAAAAACACTTCTTGTCACCTAAGGTACGATAATAGAACTGGAAACAATTATAAGAGTACGTGTGTGTGAGAGTCCGGAATAGAATATTAAGAACATTTTAGAGTGTACTTTATAGGACAATACAGCCCTTTAATTTTAAAACTGAAGCGTCACATTCCTTTAAAAGACGCCTACCCAGTACGCGAATCCTGTAAAAAGTCTCGTGATTCCCAATCCTCTAAGATCACGAAATGTATATACACATTAAGTGTATTTCAACTATCTTTCGGCCATTTATATATTTTATGTTTATATAATATACAATAGTCAAATAATTCCTTTAGAAAAAGCATGCGAGCACTTCCTACTTACATCTCGCAATAAGATTCACAGTATTTTGTCAACTATAATTTACAAAGTCAATGAATTCATGATGTATTTTCAACTGAAAATAGATTAGAACAAATTTTCATTACGTTTCATGAGTCTTATACTACTTTTACTGCATTCAAACGTTTAATCGACTACATTACATTTCATTTTTTAAATTCGATTTATAACCCAGAACAGACACATGTTGTAGCTTACATATAACTTCGGTTTGTAAAATGATTCTAAGGCGCTTTCGCCTGAAAAAGCCTATTACTCCATTTCAATTAGGCGTTTTGTACATCTCTATAACAATATCTTCAAGATTCTTCATTTCTGTTTGATAAATGTCTATAATTTTTTTCGCTGTTTCAAGTTTACTTTTCAGTTTATTAATTTCGGCTTGATAATCCTCAGGTACCCTGTGAAAAGAGCATAATTTATCATTCAATAGGTTTGTTCTCGTGACACTTTTTGAAAAGCGCATAAAGTGTAGGGAACGAGAACAGACCTAATATAAAGAGTACCTTATAAACATAGGAATTGTACCTTTCATTAGGATATTTCTTTTTTTGTACCAAGCCCTGATCTTGTGGATTCATTTTTTTACAATGTGAACTTTGAAAAGTCCCGTTTTTCTAACTGATTTTTTATCTGAATGCGATAATACACAAAAATTCGATTTGATTAGATTCTTGCTTGGTATACTGGATGATATTACAGGCTGCGGAAGATTTTCAGTCGGTACAGTGTCTGGTTTTAATATCCTTGCTTTCATAGGACAATAGTTCAGCAGTCTGTGCATCATCGATATCATAAAGCAACTCGATAGAAAATGATCCGAGCACACCCTTGCTGTAAATTTAATGACGCCATTATCTGTCATCGTCATCAATGGGGAACTGGACCAATTTTTTTTTTTTCGATTTTCTTAATTGTCGTACTATAAAAACTATGAACATTGATGTCTTAGGTAAATAATATGCTTATATTTGTTAAAAAATAATATTAAAAATCGTGTTACACAAATAGCAGTTCAAACGCCCTTTTGAGACACGTGACAAAATAGCCGTCAAAACCCCATATTCGGTACTGCCGTCTTGCGGATTAGTGAGTAAACTTTAAATAGTAACGTCTTGTAACGCCGACCATTCGTCGCCAACTTGCAATGTTTGAACACGGGCGTTCCTCATTGGCTATTTGGCTATAAAATAAACTCCATATAAGGATATGAGGTTGTGACGTCACGACCAATCACAAAGTGTTTTCGCTCCCGCACTTTATAGCAATATTTTAGTAAATTTTAATATCGATTTTCTTAATATTTAAGTAATCAAAAAATTATCTAATCAGCGTCCTAGCATTTTACGATCATATTCTAGTAAACTACTTAGACAGTTTTTGAATTCCCGTCGCAGTCCAGTTCCCCATTCTACAGTCGTACCCCTCAATAGTTAATGGACTTGTGGTTAAGACCCCGCAATACATTGTTAAATGTACCTTTCTTTTCGTTTGTTACTTAAGGATGTATGCTCAAAATAAAAATGTTTAGTTTCCTTGCTGAATTTAAAATATGTTATAGTATAGTATTAAAGATTCTGCGTTGATTAAAAAAAGGTACCTTACCGTCTATTTAAAAGGAAAATGAATATTGAAAGTCCCATTTCACCTTTACTATTTTCACCGGAAGGAGACTAATTTTGAATAAAAGTAGAAAATTTGATATATTCTACAGTATTTTCATGATAGAGAAACTGGTTTTTAATAACTCTGTACTTTTCATAATTTTTACATCAACAGAAAGAACTATTATTACCGTTGTTTTTATCGAAATATTTGAGTAAATCTGAGGCATGCCGATTATGTTGTATAAACTTGCAGTTCCATTTGCTACAGCCGCCATTAATCATCAGAAAATCTGGCAAGTTGTACATACACCTGTACGGTCTGTATGTAGATATAGATATAGGTCGATGCAGGGTTTGTTAAACATTGAAAATGTTTCACAAAACACCTTAACCTTTGCGGATTAGGTCTGTTCTCGTTACCTACACTTTCTGCAGTTTTCAAAAAGTGCAGAGTGTTAGGTAACGAGAACAGATCTAGTGTAAATCACTTTGAAGGTACTGTTTATACGAAACCGACCGCGGCGTTGTTACAACATTTTCTTGAAACCTGAATAGAATTCTTTGATTGGCTGCTGGACTGCATAACAATCAATTTAAAAAAAATATTGGAGGTACTCCGGATTGGATATGACATTATGATACATCCTTAATACGCGCATGTCAGGTTTTATCACGTGGTTGCATCACAGAGATGCGCATGCGCTGACGGTGTAGCTGAAAATCAGCTAAGGAGAGCGGCAATAGAAAGGTGGTAACCCTAATTAACTATTGCGAGAGTTTTGAAAGGGTTTGTAATTGAGGGGTTGAAACTATTATGGTGTAAACTATGGAAAGATTTGACTGCACAGGTATTGAACTATCTCGAAATCGCGAGTGCATATGTAGATTCATAACATGTACTATGCCTACTGAATCCACCGAATGGAATATAAATGGACTTACCATGCTTCATGTTTACCTTCTTAATACCACATGCTTTGATCCAGGCTTGAGCAATGATTTCGTTTTTTGGGAATGAAAAATATTTCACTTTTTGTGTTTTATTTTTTTGCGATGAATTTTTACACGTCCTTACTGCACAGTGTGGCATTTTGAGGCCACAATTTTAGACCTCGTAGCGTACCTAAACGTTAAAAAAAATCCTCAAACCAACCAGTTCTGTAGGTGTACGTGACTAAATGATGTATGCCAAAATGGCGGCGTCCATAGATTATTCGGTATGGATGTAAATGGGACCATTTTATGTAAGCAGGGATGGTGGATAATTTGTAGCATAAGAAAGTATTAATAATTAAGAGAAATTTGTTTTATATAGGAATTAGAGTGAATGTTATATTTCATTGGTGTTCGTATTTATATCCGCCAGTTTAGTGTCAAATAGATTCAATGATAATGCGGACTTATAAAGTTAACCTTTATTAATAACAACAAAGGTTTATACTATTTTGGGGTTTTGTTTGTCGGTTTTTCTGTGCTTATCAGCTTCTTCTTTATCACTAAAGTATTCAAAGACATCATCAGAGGATTCGATAGACAAGGGAACTTTGCTTCGCGGCTCAGTTTTTGTAGATGGTGATATCTCTTGAGAAAAATTTTCACTCCGAGGTAAAACTTGCTTGTAAATTGTCATAGCCTGTGAAGTATAAGTTTTAGAGTAAGATATACAGTGTTAAATATACAATACATAGATACTATGTAATTACCTGAGCAACCAAACTAGGTACATCACCAGCATTACTAGGTAGAATCAGTGTATTATTAGTTTTAGCCAATTTATTGAAAGCATGGACATATTGTTCAGCAACACTTAAAGCTGCTGCATTCTTGCCATCCTCAGAAGCTAACGAACTAGCTACTATCTTCAAGCTCTGAGCCCGAGCTTCAGCAATTGCCAAAAGTCCTGCAGCTTCTCCAGATGCTTTATTTATTTGTTCTTGTCGTTGAGCCTCTAAATACGTTATTTAAAGTATCACTTTTTACATATTCAATATTTTACAAAATATTAATACTGCTTATAGTCAGGCTACATCAATGTGATTTGAAAGGGACTCTTTTATGTTGTTATACATGAGAATGTAGCCAGTTAGAAAATAATTGATTTTACAACTGAAGTAAAGCCCTAATAATTACCTGAAGCAAGAATTCTGGCTTGACGTTTTCCTAGTGCTACGTTAATATCAGCTTCCTTCACACCTTCTGATTCTAAAATAGCAGCTCGTTTTTTTCTTTCAGCTTCCACTTGCATTTGCATAGCTTCTTGTACACGTTGTGGTAGCCTTATATCACGAATTTCATAACGAAGACAAGTTATTCCCCAGGCCTCACTTGCTTTGTTAATGCTTTCTACAATGCCAACATTGAGACCTTCTCTTTCACGAAACACTTTGTCTAAAGATATCTTTCCAAGTTCGGATCGCATTGTTGTCTGAGCTAGTTGAATAATGGCAAATTCAGGATCTTCTACCCCATAAGATGCCAAATATGGATCATTTATCCTCAAATAAAGAACTCCATCAATGTTGAGAGTAACATTGTCTATAAAAAAGGAAGAAGTCAATTAGATTATGTTTTTTAAATATTAAAGAGAATAATAAGTAATATACATGCCAGATGTGACTGCACTTTGTTTAGGAACATCAATAGCAATTTCTTTAAGACTTTGGACATACTTTACTCGATCCACAATAGGTATAAGGATATTGATTCCTGGTTCCAGGATTCTGTGAAACTTTCCCATTCTTTCCACTATCCATGCCTATAATATGACAATACAGTTTCTTTAATTATATTATACACTTTTGTAATAGAACAAGAATATTATTGCGTAAATAAGTATGATTATTTGAACCTCTTGCTGTGGCACAAACATGATGATTGTATTGATAGGTGTTGTAGCTTTATTTCTTGTGTGCATTAAATTCGGGTATCCATAGGAAACATTTTGTTTATTTTCCATAGGTATATTAATAGAACTTTGCTATAATAAAATGTAAGGGTTAGTATAGGTTAGAATATACTTAACAAATAACGATGTTTTCTGTACTTACTCTGATGACGGATAGATTACGTGACAATAATCTTGTTCTTGCGAGCATATTGTAATTCGTGCTTACACTATATTAATAAATATTTCAAGTATTCTCATATAAGTCAACAAAAGATCAACGTTTCTCAGAGCATTCTATGCGGCGTTCACGTTGTGCCCTGACAGCTGAACATAGTCGGTAAAGGCTAACGAATGATGTAAATTGTAGTCCATTTTTTATTAATATTATATCGAACACACTTGTAAAAATTTAATATAATTATTTAAAAATCCCTGTCTACGGATAATTTTAATTTATCTTAAGAATTACTAATTAATCTGGTATATGTACTCATGCATTTTTATAAATATACATACATAGGAGTGCGATTCGGGGATGATTAGAAATCAGTAAATCTTGCGCAAGAGCAACTGCTTATTACTATGGCATACATATATGTTCTTTCTCTATTCTTACTGGGAGTTTGAATATATGACAATAAAGTATTTCAAAATTATTTTATTTTTTTTTCTTAAGCCAACTCAAAATACAACTATACACGCTGCGTACTTGGTCTAATTCTTTCTTCAGTAGTAAAGAACGGATCTGAAAATATTAAGAAAAAAATGAAATAAAAATTTCGCATTAAAAACGTATTTGTGTAAATAAATCTTACCATTTTTTTTTCATGAATAACAAAGACATCAAGCTCAATTCGTAGAGCGTCTAAACCGCTCTTGAAAAAATTCTGCAGGACTCCAGGAAGCTTACACCTTGAGCATACCACACGAGTATGAATAAATACGCCAAGGATGATCGTCCGGTCGAGGAATTCCAAGAGATAAAGTGAAACACGAAAATCGGATGCCAGTGATAAAAAATGAGAGTAAAGTTTTTATGAAAATAAATGCATGAGGGTGAATAACAGACTTGCAGAAGAGAATGAAATACAAGAAAAAATGAAATGAAGAGTAAAACGAAAGGCAGACACAGAGGGAAGTTCGTAACTATTTTTTTTCTCTTTACTTACTAAGCGCGTAACACAACGATGTATTTACAAAAAACAAGCTTTCGCGCAATTTCGAGTGTCTTTTTTCCTCTGTTTTCCATCCCATTTATCAAAGTGTCCCGCAATAAGGACAGTTTTGCCATTAATTAACTCGTTAAATAATAATCATAATCAATAATTAATTAATAATAATATAATTACTATACGATAGTTCATTAATACAAATTAAAAATTAAAACCAATCACAGCTTACGCATTTAGTAGAAATCTAAAAGAGCCAAGTAGATGACTTCTGGTCGTGGCTCTGAAGGGGATACAAATAAAAAGAATCCAGTTAGAGGGTGAGCGACACGAAAGAGTGTTGAAAAATTACAAGAACGCGAAAAAGAAGAAAATATTAATAAGAATTATTTTCTCTTGATTATAAAAAAATGTTGAAAAATGAAATCAAATGAGATTCCGTGTACAGATGATAAAGAAAAGATACACGACAGATGGTAGACAAACATACAGGGCGCGCCAATTAATCCATGAAGTAACGTACATACATGAGGTGATATTTCTAAAACAATTTAATTATATACATAAATTTCGCATATTTTTTTCCCTTTCATTTGGGTAATAATAAGTTTCTATGAAGACGGATGTCGAATAAAGTGTGTTAATAAAAAGGAGGGGTCTGGGAGGAGAATACGAGAATACCCGACTGCGCGTGAAAATATCGCAGTTCGTCATTGGTTTTACAATAGTTCGCATAGCGCAATGCTCATGAGGAGGCTTCTAGAGAAATAAGCATTATTCGGGGCAGTAACAGCAAAAAAAACCTTAAACAAATTCTAAATGGAGAGCCGGTCGTACGTCCGGCGAAAGGACCTACCCATTATAAAGTTTCAACCATATTTTCCTCATCTACTTAATTCTCTTTCAATCTTCGCGCATTTCCCAGTTTTTTTTTATCCTAGCGCTATTATCTTCATATTTTCCAGCATAACTTACGTAATGTAACGTAAACGTAATCGTGGCAATTTTTTTCTCTTACGATCTCTCATCAAATCACTCTCTCATGTCGCATACGCAACACACTCACTCTCCCGAAGAATTTCACTTTTCCCTCCATTTCTGTACGCGTTTCTTTTTTCTTGTGATACTCCTTTCATTCAACAGCTTTGCAGAAAAAAAGCATAAATCGACATAGAGGACGAAGAAATACTTTCGGCATACGAAAGAGCCATGGGGAACTTTTGCGTTAGATTCTCTGGAGTCCTCCCGGAAAAGGCTCACAGGCTAAAAATGCCTTTTTTAAATGTTTTTTTTCTATTTTTTTATATCTCTTTCCTTAGGGGTTTTCTCTCTTTTTTGTAATACAAGTAAATAAATTCCGCGTATGTCGAAGTAAGAAGACGTTATAACTGTGAAAACGCGGAACTTATTTTCTGCGTGCATATACATATACATCGCACGTATATAATATATGCGCGTGTGTGAATGTTGCGTGTGACTCCTGTCTTTTCTTTTATATATGTATATGAATTTGTTTATTTGTATATTCATGTATATCTAACCGTAATTAACGTGTCTCGTACCTTTACATTAGAATCCGTCACAATTCGATTACGTTTGGATCGAGATTATACAGAATAGCAACGAGGATAGTTTAAAATATTTTTTAAAACAATTGTTCATTGTGATTCGTCAGCATTAAACGATCAACGATCGAGTCGTGCAATTAAATGGTCTCATTAATCGTCATTAAATCGACACATAATAACTATTACGTATAATAACTTCGAAGCTAATACACTTTGTTTCTCTCATTTCTTGGTTTAATCGGTCTTCAAAAAAAAGGGAATTATCGATACACCATTTATCACGTCCGATATATATTTTTTTCCGTCCATGCTTATCCCACGCTTTCTGAGTTTCCTTTCTTAATTCTTTTATTTTTCTCGTTTAATTATCAAATTTTTCTCTAGTCTTAGTCAACCGATAATCCACCGTCCCACTCGCGGGAATACTGCCTGATATCATTTAATTATTTACCGTTTCGAATGTATCGTATTATTTACAAATTATAACATACGCGTACTCGGCTCCAACTTTAATTATAATTAGCCATTTCTGTCTACTTTTTCTGTTTAATTTCTTTAATAGCAAAAAACATCACCATCGCGCACAGTCATTTTTTTTAAAAACACGATGCAAGAAAAAATATACTAATTTAATAAAACAAAGAGGAACATGCCATATCACAAGCCCACTCTTCAACTTCACTAGCCAGACCTTTGTGGCTGGGACATTTCCTGGAGATAAGCTCGCAATTTTAGCCTTGTTCAATTTGCTTCACCGTAATACAGATCGTCACACGCGTCTAGGGCTTCACCCCAGCAGAAAAATCTCTTCGTGCGAGTAACCGGGACCTGGTTTCTATACTCGCAATAGACAAATATACAAAGAAACAAAGAAGAACAATGATCACTCATCGCGTGTCTCATCTATAACCTATAAATACAATTATTCCATCACTGTTAGGCACGCGCAACGTACCCATTAATAATAATTATTATTATTATAGTAGATCCATGTTAGACGTTCAAGTAGTCTGTCTGTCTCTCGATTGGAAACATATTCACAACCATAATAACCGTCCAGCAGCCGATCGCCCCGAAGACCATATATCGAAGATCTATCATTTTCGATTTTATCAATGCGAGGATGATTTACTTCCGATCGATATTTATATGCCCTAGAGACGTCCATTGTCACGTTAACCTCGAGCATATTATTCGCGAATACGACATATCCAGACACAACTCCTGAAACAGTACTGAACGCTTCGGTGCGTTCGGTACTTCATTTTTTTTCTTATATTTTTTATTGGTTCTCATTACACCCTCCTTGTGCATCTCTCATTCTAAGCGTATATGATGACTGTGTCCTGTCTACAAAAACATGGAAATGATCTCCATAGGTATCCTCGTGTGATGATAGCGAGGGAGTTATCGGATTGGCAAAGTGAAGGAAAATAAAAGGTTGCGACAACTCTCTCACAGGAACTTCTAAGTACATTGATGGAATACATGGACGTTCCTCAACGTGAAGGACGTCTCTGTCACAGTGGAGTCTAAAGTTTTTGGTGACTATTCGGCGATGATTCTTCAAGGTTTACATATCCCGCAGAACGTATACGCAAAACATACGAGAAACGTAAATGACTTTGACGCTACATGTATATAAATCGTACGTTTGTCTGCAGTCACATACACATCACTCAGAGTACGTTAATGGAGCCGAGGTCCGGCCATCGCCAGGGTGCGAGAGCCCTAACCTAGCTAAGATACGTCAATTCCTGATTATGATATTCCTGGGAAATCTCTACAAAGTGTCTTTTCTTTGTTTGTAGTGTGTGTGTGTGTGTGTGTGTGTGTGTGTGTGTGTATATATATATATATATATATATATATATACACACACCATGGATGCCACGTGCAAGCTGGACGGACTTGCCGTGGGCCGGTTGTTTTTTTTTCTTTTTTTTTTTTATAAAAAGTCGGTGGTCCAACGGCGATCGCGGATGATCGTATAATCAATGAATGAATGAATGAATTAAAAATGGATAATCGATAATAGAACAGAGTGACGTTAATTAATAATTAATCAATCAATTAATTAATTCATAATAATAATAATAACCGTAATAATAAAGGCGATAATGATTCATAGTAAACGATAGTAATCCATAGAGTTTAGCGTTTAGCGATAATTAGTTGCGGCAGCTTCTTAGGCGGCGACATCGGCAACAATGACGACGACGCTGATAAGGACCTCTTCAGTTCGAGAGCGGGAGCGGGGGTAGCGTCGGCGTCGGCGTTATTGTGATCGACACCGAACGGCTTCCGGCGTGTAGTAACATCGCGGCCTCCCGCTCCCTTTCGCCGATGATCTCTTCCGTCACCTCGGGGAGTTCTCGCATTGCTGGTCTTCCTGTTTTCTTCAGTGCAACCGATCCACGTCCAGGATTTGTCCCAGCACTAATGGCCCCGCACTGTACTGACGACCCCCCGAGCCCAACGGTCACAGACAGTCATTTTTGCCTTCCACTTTTCTTCTTCTTCCTCTTGAAGAAGCAACAGCATCTGGAAATGAAACAAACACTAATAGGACTTAGAGTCGCTTCTCATTTGGAAGTTAGCTGGTTGACACGGACATGCATCTTCTACATTTCTTTTTATGCTAATATTATATACATTCTTTTGTTGAGGTTAATTTAACGGAAGATGCTATTATACTCTATCAGGATGCTATATAAATGTACCAAGTTCAGTAAACATGACCTGCATTTGGTTAGCAATGTGTAGGTTTTAGTTTTTGGAATTCGGGTTGGGATTTGTGGAGTTTCGGTGACACCAGGAATTCAGGAGGAACAGATAACACGTATCTTCCCACATCCAGGACAGATCTTTACCAAAGGATATGGTGTTAGCTCACTGAAAATAATGGAGTCACTAAGGTTAATTTCATACGCATGCATATAGTGGATTTTCATATAATCATCGGTTTAGGATTGTTAGTGCGACATACACAGCATACGTGGATATTTTAATCCCTCAAATTATCCAAATACAGACAATACGGATATGATACTAACTTGGTTTCATCGATCATCTCCACTTCTTGCGGTGCTGTGATAGGCGTGTTGGAGTGTCCAGCGGTCGGATCATCATTAGCCAATTCTCCATTAGTCGAGGACACCACCTACGGAGAAATCAAAGTGTAACTAACACTTAGAGAACCTGTTCATTTACAAGGTGTACCGCAACAAATGCATGTTAATCTTGAAACGAGTGAAACTTGTTAACTGTATCCTAAAGAAATTCACTATTTTACAATATTTCTTGAAATAAAAATAATCCAGATGATGCGATATACCTTGTATCTTATTAAAACGAACCATTTTGTAGAAATATGCAAGATACGTAAGAGGCACGGTAATTAGACTCAAGAAAAACAAAATAATTAATTTCTAATACTCTAATAGATTATACAATGTAAAATGTATATGTATAATGCATGTTACATGTCATAATACAGCATCAAAGTGATTTTTAAAAAAATGTATAAGTAATTGGTAAATCTCGCATATTAGTAATAAAGACATGCTTCAGCAAATGAAAGAAATACCCACGAGATACTGAAATTCATAAATTCTTTGGAAAGAATTGTTCAAGGATTGTAACTAAGTCCGGTATTGTGTTACTCCATGAACAGGTAGTGCTCAGAGCCACGAGACTAAAAGAATTATGACGTAATAGATAATATCTTGAAATCGTTTTTGTTAAATTCCGACAGGAAGTCTATATACGGTTCTGGGGGTCATGCCCCCATTCTAGTCAGAAGGAAGTGCACAAAGACTCTGCGGTGATGGAAGCGAACAGAAAGCTGATATATAGAAGATAATTTTCAACTAGGAACCTTCATTATGAGCGTCAATTTTTTGGAAGGGAAGCTGGAAGGTGGCAGGGCCTCGAAGCGTCGAAATACGCAGGGGGAAACTCACCTGAACGGAACCGTGTCTGTCAGCAGGGGTCAAAGTGCCACCAGCTCCTGATTGCTTCACCGCGTCAGGCCACGTGGCACCTACCCCTTTACCAACCCCTGCTCCCACCCCGCCACCGGGTACATCCTGGAGGAAACAGGCACCGCAAAAGGTTGCAGGTGCAGTTTTGTTAGTCGAATTGGCCGATGCAACATTCCTGATGGGGCGAGGTCATGGAGAAGGCAAAATGGATAATCGTGACACTCTTTGGATACTCTAATCGAATTAAAAAATACTCCACTTCCTACGGATGACTCAATTGCAGTTTGCTGATTCAACTTTAGCAACTTTTAGCAGTGCGGTAGAACAGCGTAGCATCGTGATTGGCTCTGCAATTCTGGCGCTACTACGTTGTACATAGAATAGATATGTATGTACAGGATGGTCCACCATAAACCGACTATCTAAGTATCTCCTTTGATTATAAAAATTCGAAAAAACTTTCAACGCACAATTTGAATGGCCCCGAGGAACAAATATGATGCAAAAAGAATTTTTATTCAAAGGTAATTTCTTCCCAGTTACCAAGAGCGTCGATATTCACAATCGAGGGAAATATTCAGGCATTCTGTTTCTAGTGAGCCACCCTGTATATATATAAATAATCTCTATTAAAGATTTATGCTCGATACACTGCGTGAACTCTACTAAAAAAAAAAGGCAATAGGTGTGGTCGCATTGATGTTCTTTGTACTTTGACATATCTGAATACGAGCTAGATTCGGATTGATGGTGGGCTTACATAGTTGCCTTGCATCTCGACGCAAATCTCATCCATCATGAGAATTACATCCTCCTCGAAATCATCGTATTCCTTTAAAACCGCCGATTTATCCATGTTGACCAGGGAACAAAAATTTCGTTTCAGAGCGGTGGAGTGACGCGAGGAATCTTTGGGAATCAAAGGCTGGATTCGATGGGTAAGAGCATACATTCTCGAATGGGTTCTTTGGGGATGTTTCTTAATACCATTACCCAGGTCAGTACACCCTACGGTGATGCCTCTGAATCATTCTGATCCAACGGGGTAAACTGATCTGGGTTCTGGTTCACCTTTTAACCGCTTCCACTATCAAATTGATGTCTCTCGGTATCATGCGGTTACTCATGTAAACAAGGATCTAAGCCACGCGCACGCACACGCACACATTCATGCAATCCTGGATTAATCGAAGGATCATCCAGTTTACCTTGTATGCCGTAGGATGCCGATCACGGTTGGGCGACACAACGATCTCGTGTCCTGTTTGCAGAGATCCGACTGGTGTTGACTGTAATAAAAATAACCGAATGAAAAGAGCAGCCTAGAGGAATATATTGAGAAACATTTAGAAATATTTTGGAAGAGTCGTTTCTACGTTTTAACGTACTACGATTACAACGTGCATGACGAATAACGTACTTGTTTCGATAACGATACTCTGGATTTTGTAATATTTCATTGACCCCCGTGGAAGTTATTGAGTAGTGTCTGATTTTTCTTAAATGCGTAATAGTTACCGATGACTACGTACTAAAATAACGGAGTGCAATTGGCCTTGATTACTGTGGTTTATTCAAGGGAGCATAATTATTTTCGTAGGATAAATAATGTCATGTAGATTGGATTTAAACAAACTACCAATTTTTAGAATGGTTCTTTAGACGTCACAGGCAGCAGGGATCACCGAACTCTATTTCTAGCATTCTTATTGCTTCGCTTCTTTTTTGTTGAATTAGGAAAGCTGAACGTATCATGAATGTCCATTAATCGGAAGCAGGAGACAGCCCTTACCGACCTTGTCAGATTTGGTCTTTTCTACGTTCGAGGGTGCTGCCATCCTCAAAGCGCGCAGTTGCTCGAAGTTGGATGGCTAAAGAACGGATCGAGGGCAGCATGCAAAGTTTAGAGATCAGTTTTAGGTTCGGGATTGGGTTTCTTTTTTTCACCTCGTAGTTCGTCCTGCGCCGATATCGTGGCACGACGAAAGGCACTTTCGCTTTCTCGATGTTAAGCTCTTACTCACCTTGTAAGGAGACTAGCACCGAGTGCTGGTAGTCACGAAGTTACGTAAATTAAAAGCAAATAATCAGGAAAATAGTGAAGAAAACTTGAAAGATCGAAAGAGAGAGATACAACGAGGCTTTTGTTGAAGAAAATCAGTAAGTGTGTGGCAGTCTCTTGGCGACAATCAAGATATCAGATATTCGGGGCCGCGTCCTATTCCCATGCTTATGTTTCTCAATTTTTTTTGTTTCAATATACTTGAAATGGTTATCATGACAACGACTAGATAGCGCTCGGTACGGTTGCTTCGGACGTATTCCTTTATAATAATTATAATAATACTATGCGCGACCGTGCGCTGCTGTTTTTTATTCGATACCATACCAGCTCACTTCACACCCACCATAGTCTTGCCCGTCCAGTCGAATCCGCCATCGTTCACGAAGCCTCGCCTCTCGTAGAGGTCTTGGAAGAGCTTCCTCAGGTACTCGTAATCAGGCGTCTCGAAGAAATCAAGCCTCCTCACGTAGCGCAGATACGTAGCCATCTCCTCTGGATGACCTTCGCAGAGAACCTCGATGGGTGTGGCTCTCTTTGTATCGCCAATCTTTTGATAGCGTTCTTTAAGAGTATCTGCTTTGAGACCTTGCCAGGGTAAACTACCCCTTAAGAAATACATGAACATATGACCAAGGGCTTCCAGGTCGTCTCTTCTGCTTTGTTCTGATAGCAGAAAAATGTGCTTAAATTAATAGTTTGTTAAATATCACCGATTAATAGGATGATCAAGATCATAGCGTGACTTATACCTTTGCCTAGGTGAGTGTTAATACTCATGTAACGGGCGGTCCCCGTAAGACTTTTGTGTTCCCGGTAGGGTATATGTTTGTTCGTCTCCAAGTCTATGTACTCTTTGGCTAGTCCGAAGTCAATGATGTGAATGATCTTCTCGCGTTTAGTCGTGCTCCTGCCGATGAGGAAATTCTCTGGCTTAACATCGCGGTAGATTAGGTGGCGGCTGTGCACGTACTCTATCCTGTGCAGCTGTAATCAGGTGTTGAACGTTATTCTAGTAATTCCCATAGCGGAACGGTAGATGGTGACACCGACAACTTCTTTAAAGTCTTATCAAACAAAGATGTAAATACTCACGAGCTGTGTGGCGATGTTGAGAACGGTCTTGAGGGAAAATCTTCTACCACAGAGATCAAAAAGGTCCTCCAAACTTGGACCGAGTAACTCCATCACCAGAGCGTTGTATTTGCCGCATGGTCCGAAATAGTAGACCTCCGGTACGCCCTCTATATGTGTGTTATGAACTATACCGATTGAAAGGTAGATCACCCCAGACCCCAAATATTCGTTTGGCGTGCGTGGTGATGACGATATGACGAAATTCATGAAACAGATAACACGTCGTGATGTAGATCGACGACGGCTCACGACGTGGCTCTACCACGAAAAATGGTATCATTGCACTAATTGCAATGATACCATTCAATAGTCATTAAGCGGGATGGTCGATAGATCTCGCCAGTGTCCCGAGTATGCAAACGTCTTTCCTTTAGAGTAAAGTAATGAAAATATCGTACTCACCATGTGTTCCTAGTAATTTGTAAAACCTATATTCTAAGTGAAGCTGCGGCGCCTTCGACTTCATCGGTTCCTATTAACAAAAACACGAAATTAATCACTCGTCGGATACAGGTAAATTTATGAATCTTACCATTTTAATGGCTACATGCTCGTTGTTATACAGATTCTTCCCTGAAACATAGAAGAAAAAAGAGATTGTGATAAACGGTAATAGTATCTAGGTTATAATTTACATACTTAAATCTACGTCAATGACACATCGACTACACTATTTCAGTAGGGAATTAGTGAAATATAGTAAAAAGCAAAGGTGATCCTATCATTCAGGTGAGAGGCCTAATGTGGGCCTGAAATGACCTAATGTGGGAAGACCTATCGACGTGAAGGTGAGGGCCATATAGTGCTGACAAAAAGTTGTAGAATTCTTCTATTGTACGAGATAGCACCTTAGTGTACAAAGGTCGTGAAGAATTTAATAGGCATAATTTTCCAAACTTTGTCCCTATGAATCATCTGTGCGTCACATTCTAATGAGGACAAATCATCCAGTTAGCTACCTGGCTCAGAAATTAGACAGTTGGCCAAAAGATCGGCAGCGCTACCTGTAAAAGTAGATATTTGCATCTAGTAAGACCAGTTACTACTCTAGGAGACGTCAGTATTTTATACGGAGGAGAAAATAATCTATATGTGTGATATCACTGAATGGCAATAATTATGAATCGCACGATGGTCCAATAGCGAAATAACCTTAAAAATTGATGGTCGTACGACGACGAGACTAGGCCGGAGTGTAATTTAAAGTGTGGAGGAAGGAAAGAGACCTCGTAGCCATTACGAATTCGAATTCAAGGCCTGAACTCTCGTAATGATGTTTAATAATAACAATAAAGGTCTCGACGACCAACGTGGCTAGCGTTAGACGGCGTCGTATATCTTGATTCTATGTCTAAGACCCCCGTTTTTGCAATAGCTGCATTAACGTATAACGAAAAAAATTTCTCAACAGGAAGTCAAGTCCCGGAAGTAAGATGAACCACGCGAGTTGGGCTGTCCCTCTGTAGAAGGATCCCACGTGACTTATTTGACGAAGCCTCTGTCCAAAGTGACCGCTCAGCCGCACAGAAGCCATTCAACAACGTATGCAAAGAAGAAAAAAAATACTAGACGAGGTTTCACGGTCACATGGCGGGAATCTAATAAAATATCGTGCGATTCGGTAATGAAGTTACGATTATGGCGATACGATTTCTATAATAAAAGATAAAGGGAAACTTTGATAGTTTTGATTATTGGGAGGCGGGGTCCATAAACATAAAGGCTGGATTAGTGGGCGTATTTTACTATTATCAACGGTGGAGGGAGTAAAGGAAGGAGGAGCTAACAAGAAAAATATATTCCAACTGCTTTGTCACATGAAGAAAATATAGATCGCGGACCCTAAAACTACAACGGGGAAAAATCAGAATTTCTATAATTAAATACTAGTCCCCATGACGGTCTTAAACATTAGATGTGCGTCATACGATCCCGAATGGAACCTTGGAAACATGCCAATTTGAAAAGAAAAAACAATATTTTTTGACAAGTTGAAGCACGACAGTACATTACAGGAGTACATGTGTCTTCAATAATTTGTTCATCTTAATAATTTGGTACAAATGGATTATTCTCGAATTAGTTTACGCAATCAAAAGTTAGAGAATATTGAGGTCGAGCCAGGGGGTGGGGTAAAACACATCGTTTTTAAAAAAAATATATAGCTTAAAAAATTAGAAAACTATATCCAATACTTAGCACACATGTTTATTCTTCGTAAACCACAAAAGATGAACCAATAGAACAAGTTACACAGATGTGCAGTGAATCACGTGACATATCGAAAAGCGTTATATTAAATAAGAAAAAATATACCCCGAAATACAAAAAAAAAAACCTAAAGTTAAGTAAAATTGACCACGTGTTAAGGCTTTGCCGCCGTGCGTTCTCTCATATGCTAACCCCTTGACCAAACCTTATCCTAAAACGCACCAGGCAGGCAACCTAATCCGTACGAAACTTGTATCGATCGATCTGCCACAGCCTATTTTCCCCTGTTCCTCACCGTGGTCGTTTTCCGTATATATGTATGTCTCACCCCTCCTCATACCCCGTTTCTCATAGTCCCCGCCCACATCTACTCACTTCGTCAATCTTCTTGAGGCCGTTTTATCAAACGGCAAAATTCCGAAAATTTGATTTTAATACAGAATAGTGCCCGCTAGATGGCACACTTTAAGTATCGTATACAAAAACTTCGTGATCGCCGAGACAAAATAATATATGTGAATGGTGATTGATTATAATTCGTTTGTACATACATAGATAAAAATCGTAGTAGAATCAACGATTTAACTTCATGTGCTAACTGTAATTAATTTACTACCGAAATGCATGTTACTCGTAGTAAACTCTGAAGTAAACAGTTGAAAAGTTTCTTGCGACTAGTTAACCCTCTATGGGCCGAATTTTTGTTTTAACTCCAAAAAAAATTGTGGGAACGAAAAATCAAAAATTATAAACCTATATATGCAAATGAAAACAAATTTTTGCGTTTAAACAATTTTATTGCGATATGTTCACTATGTGACTTTCAAGTCTCACCGGCCTATAAAGTTGAAAATTTGAAAAAAAAAATTGAAAATTGAAATGCAAACAAATAGGTTGTTATTGATATGCTAACCCAGAGTTATTATGTCCACTATTTTTAGTTTGGTAATCACTGACAAAAGTACAAATAATATCAATTGGATCAAATGGTTTCGCGTAGTTTTACTGTCGACAATTTGCACAGCATTTATTTTGTTATTTCAGGTTGATGAGCCTAGCAATGGTCATGAATACTAGTATTGGTTATGTTGGCAACGTCATAGAGTTAAGATTTGTGCGCCATCTCATGAAAAAACTATAATTATTTTGTAAAATGTCGATAAATTAAATGTGACCTGAAAGTTACACGGGCCCATAGAGGGTTAAAGCGCGACAAATTTTACTCATTGTCAGTAAACTAAGAACAAAGCAGATTTATCTATAGACTTCTGTGAAGTTTCAACAATAGGAATTCGTTGAAGTTTTGGCTGAGTAAATGACGAAAGGTCCCACGACCCAGAAGGTTCCAAGGAATCCAAAAAATAAAGAAGAAGAAAAACAGTCTGATATGCTCCAGTGGCATTTCCAACTCCATCCTGCTAGTATGAAACACGCGTCAGTACTTGTACAATATATCCGTAAAATAGGTATTACTAACATACCGGCTTGCGAATAAGTCATGAATCTTGCCTCTATTTAAATATATTTAACGCACATGCTTTGTAGTTATCTGGTGGATATACCGTCATCACGTTGTTTCTTAGTACACACGTATAACCTCAAAGCACCTACAGTTGCAGGGTCCAACTGTCCGCATTGTCTGCAATATTATTATGCCCTTTTTTGAGAGAATGATATGTTTAAAACCACTAAGGGAATTGAGGGTGAGTTGTGAAACGAATGGGGGCTTTTCTTTGTTTTAGAGATTATCCCCAGATTTCATATTGCGACAACGTGATGGCATCATATAAACCTAGGAAGTTATTGATGATTTACTTCTCTGTTTCCTTCTCGTATTCAATTAAGTGACGAGTAATATAAATGGAACAATCTTTTACTCGTACAAAGATTCATAATTGACTAACGTTAATTCATTCGGCTATCTTCGATCACCTTCGAGTGATAGTACCCCCCACCTTACGACAATGTCACTCAAATATAGCACATTCAGTACCTGTCAGGTACACGCAGGATACATAGCGTTACAAAAAGTCGCTGTACTGCTGATATAAGAAAGATGATCAACATCCGTGGCCTTCCCGATGGGCATTAACTCTTTCCAAGATCAGAATTACTCACTGATTCTACCACCTTTGACTGATAATTAGTAAACAATCACGAGATCAATTAGACATCTGATGAAAGATCGAAACTTGAATTATTCTGATTCGATTAACGAAGTTAATGTCTCTGTTAAACGGCAATATTACACGACAATAAAAAAGAGGCGGAACAAAAGAAAAATTGATTAAATATTCTAAGCAGTGCTCTTAAGAGTGAACTCTAATAAAATGTAATACAAAATCGGTAACTGATTCGTAGCGGGATGCAAGTGGCGCTAATGTAGGTCAGGGTGGTTTAACTAAGATCGAGAATTGTCTAGTGTGAGAGTATAAAGCACACTAGTAGAGCGAATACAATACCAGAAGCCAAAGAGAGAGACGAAGATGGAGAAAGTTACGAAGTGGAAGAGAAGCAGAACGAGTCAACAGGAGCAATCTCGAGAGGTTCTCGACACAAGTGTTTTCTTTCACTTTTTTCCTTCTCTTTTTGCTCCTCCATATTTTTGTCCTAGCAGTGAGCTCCTCTGGATGTCGAACTTCACGAAATTTTTGCTCCACTCTGCTCTCGTACCGATACGCCAAATTGTTATGACCTTCAAACACGATTTTCCTCTCACTGATTCGGCCCGCGAAGTCGTACCCGCCATTATTTCGCGAACCGATCTATTTCGGTGCGCTCGCAAACTCGTTGCGACGCCACCTTGCATAATCCTACAAATATTTATGAAGGGGCCGTCATCGATTCCTCGTCAAGGGCCACACGGTTTTTTCTTCGATTATCGACGCGCTTTTCATCATCCACTGCAACACTTCAGATAAACTTGTCATGACTTTTCATGATATATTTCATGAACAGAGTCCATATACCTGAATGATTCTTTGTCTTGCTAATGCTTTGTTCGAAGATCGCATTGAATTATGAATATTCGATCAATTACGGATAAACTGTGTATATGTATTATCAATATTCAATAAAACCATGTGATTTTATTAGAGAATGGTAGACTTTTTACTAAGAGAGAAAGAGAGAAAATACGAGGGGGAACGAAAGAGTAAAAGAGAGGCTAGAGAACTCTATGACGAGAGAGAATACGAGTTCATTTCTCTTTGTAGTCATCAAGTTCCCCTGAGTCACTCGGAGCTGGCATGCCGTGCCAGCAGACAGGTTGCTACCTGACCGGTACGCCTCTTTCTTTTTACCTAACCTATCTATCATTCTCATTCTGCTTTCCTCCTTGGAGAGTTCATCCGTCTCTTTACATCAACCACCTTATTCTGGCTAGACAATCTTCTTTCACGATCGGCAGACTGATATGGTGCTGTGTGCAAGTGCACTTAGGCTTTTGCTAAAACCGTGACGCGTCAAGGAATTATTGCTCATTTCTCACAATTGTTGCATTGAATATTAAAAGCATTAGAAAGAATATTATGAAAATTGTATATATTTTTTACGATACTGGTTATGTGAATTCTAAGGAATTTACATACTAAAGTCCTTTGACTTGACTCGACTGATCTGAGTAAGGATTGTATCCTTTGTCTCGAAATATGCGAAATTAGGAGGATTCGTTTGCCCTTCTTTTTGCTTTAGAATAATCGTTGGTAGGTACCTTTTCTTTCATATACCGAAGAATCGTGGGACTTTGGGAACACAAGGGCTCCAAACCGGAAGGATACAATTCACGCTTTGGAATTTCGTACTTCCTGCACAGTATGCAGGTCGGACACGTATGGGTCCTTTTTCTTTTACAATGCTCAGGAAGTTTTTCATTGCTGTTATGAAAGCCTTACTACTTTGGATAACATTTCCAACTTTGGACATCACTTAGACTGTATGTGTAACCAATGAAAATGATAAGCTTGCCACTGATAAGGTTCCTTAGTAGTGCAAGAGAAGGTCTTATCAGTCCTGATAGGACTCTTAAAGAATACTACTTTTCAGCAGGTTTCATCAGCCTAACTCAACATCTTGCAATTTCATTAATAACTCATACAGAAATTTAGGTCTCATTGTCATTGGATTCAATCGAGTTTCAAACTGGCTATGATCTCACTTTTGTACACTTTGATGCAATCAGTAAAAAATGATTATTATCAAACACTGCTAAAGGTCTTTTTTTATCTTTGGATTTTGCAAGCTTTGATGCATCTGATATAATTTTAACACTTTTTAAGTTTGACACATAACAGATCCTTCTGTAGCTCATACGAGGATGCACATATAGTTAGAAACATCATGCAGAACGAGGTCATCACTGCGACTTGATACTGCAACGCAACTAATAAAAATAAAAGAGAAATTTAGTTTATAATATTTACTCACCAAGCCGAAGCTCTCCAAAGTTGCCACAGCCAATCTTCTTTCCAACACGGAAATTTGGTCCAACCATGAGTACTCCAGAAGACGAAGCAACACTATGTCTGCGGGAATGAGCATTGGATCTAGTAGGAACCTCACTGCCTCTAGATATTCTTTTAGCAGCCTCCTGCTCCCTTTCTCGTTCACGATCGCCGCCCCTAGCGAGCTCCTTATCAGCTCGGGCCTCTCTACCGTCCCTCTTCTGCATTATTAGAGTGAGAACTAGCTGGCAGTCTCTGCTAAGGAACCGTAAGGATGGAAAAGGTGTCGGGCAGTGGTCAATGCTTGTTTCCACAGGAGTCTTCAGAGACAGAACCGATCTCCATGCTCCTAAACACTCAGGAGGGTTCCAAGCTGCAAGATGATGTCACTGATGTCTCAGGCGATGTTCCTGGAGTAGAGAAACCCCATACTCACAAGCATAATAAAAATTCTCTCCTTAAAGTCTGAACACCCACGCACCTAATACACTTTTATAGGATTAGAATAAACACTGCACGATCGATCAACTAATGACTTCCTTTTTGTCGCTGAGTCGTCGGTCGTCGAGTCGTGTCGTTGTCGTCAAGGCGAATTAGAGACCGGCTCTGCCTGATCACACAGACGCTTTCTTCGGACGACCAATATTAATCGCCATGCTCGCCAAGCCTCGGCGATGCCTGTCGCGGCAGCGACAGCGACCGAGTCTAGAAGCTCGGTCACTAGTTAGCGGAGCGTCCTGTCGCCCGTTGTGTAGCACGTATCCCGTATGTGAACAAGCGAAAACCACCATTACAGACCATTGTCTCTGGCGCACTCTCGCGAACGCTACGGCGACGTACGACAGGGAATGAATGTAACGATAAGCTAATGATAGTAGTAATATCCGATACGCCCTAAAGCTTCAGCCTCTTACAATTAGTTACTCATCGGCTAATTTAACCGCGTACCCCTTGTTTCAAGGAGTACAAGTGAGTTGTCGCTGTCGCCGCGACCCACCAAGAACCACAAAATCTAATATTTTCTGCGAGGGAATTTTTTTACAGGCTGTTATTGTCAAGGGGAGAACCGATTTTGTCATACAACCGCGACGATTTTAAGCATAAGAATTCTCTTTTTTTTAATGTCGCCTGCTTCCCTAGCGATACAAGACCTCTCCCTTTTTTCGCTTCTCTTGATTTCCCACCTTTTTCTCGATTTTTCTTGTTTTTTTTTATTTTAACACCGTTGCTTCTTACATCACAAGGTCCGTCCCCGTCGTCGTCACACCACCAATATTTTTCTCGTGTGTATCAGCCCCTACTCGCTATTGCTAAAACTTCCCTCGATCCGAACTGATCCGAACAAACGGTCGCGCACAGCCTGCGAGCACCTCCTGCCTTTCGCACTCGACTCGACATTGGATTGGATTTGTTACGGGACCGGCAGGTCTACCAACATGTCTTAAATGAGAGAGAGAGAGACCGTCAAAATCTAGGGACCCTAGTGGATACTAAACAAAATCACATTCTTTTAAAACCAATATGGAATGTCACAAATTATATTGATAACAATAGTTCCCTTATACTTAAAACGTTTAATTACAACATTAGATATACGTAAAATGTATCTAACTTATTATTACTTATATGGTATGATTCGGTATGTTGATACTCGAATGTAATAATTCGACAATTTTGTGTTCCAAATTTTTTATTCCAGTATCTCCATAAAACGTTAATAGTATACTCCCATGTAATTTGAACATAATGCGAATATTCATTCTCAATGAGATTGTTGTCAATCATTGTGAATTCTCGATCACGATTTATTTTATTTAAATTCGTTTTGGGGGGGGGGCTGTGGTTCATGGAGAATTTCGTGGTAAAATGTTGGCAGCATTATGCGGGCAGCACCTGTCACAAGAAAAATCGATCAAACGCAGGTGCCGTGGTAACTCGACTAGTTTCATGTCGCGGAATCATCGTTACAGGCTACAGCGGATGGCGGCTGTCAACTGGTGGGCTCTTATCTCTCGTAGGACGTTATTCCTGGAGAATAGCCTCAGCCTAGAATTGTTCACGCGAAGCTTGAGAGATTCTCAGCGCTTTGCTTAGAGTGCTTTCTATGAATTTATTTGTGTAACAGCCACTTTTTGATGACATCGGGAAAGGAGACGATGGGGTAAGTGATAAATAGTCCGCTACTCGATCTTTCTATGGGATAGCTCATCGACGTTATAGAAGCTAATTGCTCCCTTACTGCACTCACTGTTAACGATGCTAATTAGAGTGTAATTAATTATTCACTCTTATATAGGAAGGATCTATTAATGTCGGAAAGCATCAACGGAAATTCTTTAATGTAGAAGTACTGGGCCTAGCCCTGCTTTTTCTACACTGTATATTCTGATGACCTCCTCTCTATTTTGTCTCTCTAATTCTTTGATAAACTGCGTTTTTAAACTTCAGATGCTTTTTGTTATATGCTTTCTTCACATTTATTTATAGCCTTTTTTATCAAGAAAATTATGTCCAGGATGTCAAAAGTATATTATTATACGATGTGCCTGCCTGAAAAAAGGATTGCTTCAATGCAATCAATCAAGTATGTTGTGTACTAAATATAGATGAGATATTATGGAAATTAAACAATGTGCTCCTTTTTCACTTAAAGTATATCTGAATTTTATCGTGCGCGCGCGCGCGTTTATCTGTGTGTGGCGCTTGCGCACGCGCTGTATTCTCTGTAATTTCATTATTCAAGGTAATTCTATATTATAATTTTCTAATATGGATACAGAAATAATCAATGCATCCAATGTGCACTCCAAAAATTTGCTAAACTTAATTCTGTCATTTTGTTTTCCTTTTTAACTAACTTTAAATAACAACTTTTCAGTAATGCCAATTAGATTATCATTAGCTTATGAGAATTTGTACTTTGGAATGCTAAATGATTACATTATTAATATTACAGTGAACAGCCGATTTTCACGTGCAAGGCACACGTGTTTCACATTGATCCAAAAACGAAACGTTCATGGGTGTCAGCATCAACGGCGGCAGTTTCTGTTTCCTTTTTCTATGACTCCACAAGGAGTCTCTACAGGATTATTTCTGTAGAAGGTACCAAGGTAAGCACTCAACCACTGAAGGCAGTGATATCATTGGTTGATATCATTATAAGTATTTTCGGATTACAGGCAGTAATAAACAGCACAATAACGCCGAACATGACGTTCACGAAGACTTCGCAAAAATTCGGTCAATGGTCAGACGTGCGCGCAAATACTGTTTACGGGTTAGGTTTTTCATCAGAAGCCGAATTAGGCAAGGTACGTGTATTCTACCACAAGATGTCTCCTGTATTCTAATGAATCCTAAAAATAATCTTATTGATAGTTCATCGAGAAGTTTCATGAAGTAAAGGAAGCAACGAAGTTGGCCGGCGCGAAACTCCAGTCGAATTCTTCGTCTGTAACACCAGCAACCAGTGCAAATGTCAGTCCGATCACGTCCAGGTCAGCAGTGCCACCTACTGAACAAGACCTGATTGATCCGCCAAACTCGTCCATGATCAATTCAAACGTGTCGGCATCAAATAATCCGAATCCAAATGCGAGCGTCATATCCGCTCAGAATAGCGTTTCCTCGGTGAGCAGTAGTCCGCTGCCTGGCAGCTGTCAAGCGAAATTGGACGAGGAATTGAAGAATGCAGTTCACTCGAGGTCGCAGAGCATTTCACAGCAGAGTACAGAGAGTCCTCAGCATCAGGGCAAGTCCGTGCAGATCTCCGGAGGACAATCTGGTCAATCCGCAGAAATGCAGTTAAAGTACGAGAATGATAGATTGAAGCTGGCGCTTGCGCAGAGCTCTGCAAATGCTAAAAAATGGGAGGTCAGTTCATGCGTGATTCTAGGATAATTTAATATCTTTTTGGCACAAAACTTTCACAGGGACTAACTGTGTGACTTTCTACAGATTGAACTGAGTACGCTAAAATCTAATAATGCGAGGCTAACGAGCGCGCTCCAGGAGTCTACTGCCAATGTTGACGAGTGGAAGAGACAATTACAGCTCTATAAGGAAGAGAACGCTCGAGTGAAGGCCAAGTATGCGGATTTAGAAGCCGGTAAGATTAGCGAAGGAAACAGTGAAGCTTTGAGGTTACGAGTTGAAGCATTGGAAAACGAACTGAGAACGCGGAATGAAGAAATTAAGGCCCTGACGATGGCAACGAAGAGCAAAGACTTTGTGGTGAGTATTGGGCTGCTTTTAATAGCTAATTAGACATATCGTAAATAGATAGTTCTATAATAGTATTTTATTTGTTGTTTCATATCAGACACTCCAAAAGGAAAACAATGAGCTTCGAGAAATGTTAAACGTGGTTCATGAACAATTAGAACTTGCCATGAGTGCTAATAAAGTTCAAAAGCAAAATCTCGATACGCTGAACTCAAGACTAGCTGGTTATATCCAGGATCTTGTCACAGTACATCGAGAAATCACGAACACGCTGCAAACCTAAGTTAGATCTGACTTCGTAACTCTTCTTTTCTGTTTGTCGTATATATGGGCACGATGAAGCATACAGGTTAATATAATTAGATTGAAAGGGTGTCATTTTGAGGAGACGGAAAATCAGGCAAAATAGAAATAAAGTTGAGTCACGTGCACGCGTCATTCAATGGCAGGAATTTCTATTTGAAAAGAAATCTTAATATTTCGCGTAATCTATTCCATTTCCTCTTTCTTTCTATTTTTAGCTCTTTTTATATTAACTCTTTTGATCTGAGCAACATTTTTATTCTGTATCCTTATTTCCGTACTCCTCAGTGACACGTGAACGTGTACCCTTCGAGCGTAATTTTAGACCACATTTTAACCATGAACACATTGCGTGAAAACGTGAATGCACAATCGACCCTAGTAATTCCCGACACTAGTAGATGGTCCTTTTTCGAATACTAATTTAAGTTTTCTTTTGAATTTTGATTACGTTGAAAATGAAAAGTTTAGATTTTCAGCCACAAGGAAGAAACGTGAAAAAAGTCGCTCACTCGGTTGGGGATAAGATAAGCATAAGTGTATACAAATTTGTTTATTCGTAATTTCTCTCCGAACTTACCGTTGAAGAAGCCAGAGATCTTTTACCTCACGAAATAATTCGGACAAGAATTTTCTTTGGTCGATCCGCGATGTATACTACTGTATGTTACGTTATTTTTAGTTCGTAAACAAAGGAATTTGATCACGTTTTTGTCACGCCATTTTCCTCTCGTTTTCTTCTCACCCTTCTGATTGTCAATTTTTTATAAAACAATTGCACGACAGTTACGCACGGCTTTACAAATAATGGCTGGACGTCGGCGTCGCTGCGTTGAAATTGTTTAGTAAACTTTAATGAAGAGAATGTCTCACTTGCCATAATTAACACTAGATTAACGGAACCTGTCATTTTGACGGATTTCAAATTTCATGTTAAACCCTTAAATTCCACATTGGGGTGAATTGTTAACTCGCACCGGTTAGTATGGAATTTAAAGGTGTGTGACAAAGGCGTAAAATTCGAAAATTAAAGTTACAGAAATTATAAGTATTATTTTTTAGCAATTTCTGTTGACGCTGATAATCAACCTTCGTAAATCTAGTGTTAAATACAAACATTAAATAACAAACGGCTCATCGAGAGGCTTACATCGTTAACGCTAATAATTTAAAAAGACAGAATAAGGAGGCGATAAATAAAAAGCCGTAGTCTCCTGAAGATGCTGAAAGAAAAAGGTTTAGCGTAAAAAAATAAACAGAAAGTGCGAGAAAGACAGGGCATAGAAGACAGAGGCGTTAAGTCGCGTCTGGGAGCGCCGATGTTGCACTTAAAAATGATGGTTCGATGAGTTTAGTCGCTCGTGCGATAATAAAACGTGCAAATATCACTTGTAAATGAGGAATGAAGCGAACAAATGAACGGTTCCACAAATCTCTTATTTACTCCAGTAGTATTATATTGTTTATTTCTTTCCAATGATATGATTATCATCAGCTTTATTTATTGTGAATGCGAATCTCAGAACTGTAAAGAGAAATAAAGGAAAAGAGAATATGAGACTTGCGCAATGGCGACGTGTTAGAGAGCGGAAGAAAGATGAACTACCAAGAACAAAAAAATAATTGTCGCATTAACATCAAACATAATTAAGCCTTAGGAAAAAAAATGAACTTCGTACGTACATCTAAAGAAAAGAACAAAACTGGCTTCTCCGTTCTTCCGAATTAAGCGCTCACAAAACACGACAATATTCTTTAATTTTAGTGGTTTTTTTTATTAACTCTTTTATTTCGATACATCTTTTTTTATATCATTTATTACTCGGTCTTTTACTACTTTTTTCTACACTCATATTGTAACCTTATACGGTTCTCCTTTAATTAACGCCACTTTCATTATATTTTACGCTGTCCTTTCGATTCTCTTAGAATTCGAGGGAAGACTGCCATAGATACTACTATATAAATACGTTTTATTGTAGAACGAAGGAGCGTTAAACTATATGTCGTCATACCAAAAATCTCCGATCTTTGCACCGGCAAAATCCGATTGTATTTTAACTCAACTCTGGTACGTTACTTTTGTTTCGACCTATATGTACAATAGATAAGTTTTTACTACGAATAAAGTAAAGAAGAAGTCGCACGTCGAAGTTATTGGACGGGGTTAAGAATAGGGCTAGTTGAGTTACGATATAATAACATTGGTAAAAATATTAATAAGCCGCGATTAAAAATACGGAAAATAATCGGGAAATAACGAAAGTGCCCGAAGCAATTGTTAAAGACAAAGATGCATTATGAGAGAAGCGTAATTGACGCGCAGTGGATTAAGAAATCGAGTTACGTAATAGAAATACGAAAATAAATAATAAGACCGAAAGAATCGAGTGATAAAAAACAACGGTATGCATATCTATCACATTCTGGGGCTACAAATGAATGATATTAAGAAGGGAAAAATGTTAAATAATGAGAGGAAACCCTTTGCTGTAAAAGGAAGAGTAAAATCAGTGGCACACGCCAGACAGGGTATTCCTTTAAAAAAAAAAAAAAAAAATACAAATTAAAAATGAAGATCCATTTGGACTTGCCATCAGCTATTAATAAGAATAGTAAGAAGAGAATAAACTGAGCAAACGAGGGTTTATTCAGGACGTCTTAAGGTACATATTAATTAAGTATTTACAATTAATGATTGAAATGAGGGTTAGTCGCGGACAAGGGCCGCTAAAAAACTGTGCCATAGAGCGTCATTATGGTTGTGATAAGTTCCACGCTTGTGAAACCTGACATCCATTTTCTCTTGAATATGGCATAGTCTTCCGACGCACAAATGGAATCCATAGTCCAAACGCGCAGCCGATCCCGATGTAGATAAGACCTGTCGGGGATCATCAGTTACTATTTCAATGAAGGATTGATATACGTGGTGGTTACGAGTTTATTGAAATAAATGACCTTTAAAAGCTACGAGAATTTCTTAAGCATTAACTGATTGTAGAATTTGTTATGTCCGAGTATATCGTATTAACGAATAATATTAATATTGAAATGATTGAATATTAATATTATGTGCATATATTATAGTAATATATATACACATATTTGTGTGATGGTTATACGAGGAAAATGTGCGTACTTGTACATCCATTGAATTTATTTCGTATTATTGTCATTTGTTGCCCACCGTAACGCACGGTCGCCCTCTTTTATGATGTTACAGAAATTCTTAATAATATGAACGTTTTTTAACAAATACATCGAAATTATGGTGAGAAAGCAATATCTTTTGATATCCTGACTTTTTTACAACATTTTCAACTAAATATTTTGTTTTGTGTTAATTACGACACCGAGGAGATATTAACAGAAAGAGCCCTCTAGGACTTTGTTGCTGACCACTAATGGGAACAGTGGGCACGGGAGATATGCTGGAACCAAAATAGAGATTTTGGAGAAAATTGAAATGTTATATATTTTATTCACGACTGAGCTATAATAGCCACTTTATTCCCTGAAAAGCAGGAGTAAAGTAGCATTTTATTCCCGCATATTTGGTTTTCCCGAAAATTTACTTTATTCCCGCAAAATTTTGAATTTTCTTTCAATTTTGAAAATTTTTGAGTTTTGAAAAGGTGAAAAATTTTTAAATTTTGAATTTTTTGAATATTTGAAAAAACGTATATTTCCATCATAATGACGGTGGCTGATTTGGTTCCACTTTTCAGGGAATAAAGTGGCTATTATAGCTCAGTCGCTCAGTTCGTGAATAGAGCACTATATGTAACACCTCGCTTCGCTCGGGCAGTACACTCTCACCCGCGGGAATAATCAACGACTTTACTCCCTTGTTGCATAATGTACTATTGTTTAATACACAGAATATACAGAACCGGCTCTGTTTACCAATCTCTTCCCGATGCTTACAATCGAACAATTGAACTATTGTATTTTCTTGCTGTTTAAATGTACCGCTGATGATCGGAGCCCTTTCGTTTTCAAGGTGCGTTCACAGCTTTGATGGACTAGTCGAACAAGATGAATAACTCGGAACAGCTAAATTCCTAATTGATCGAAACTTTAAATAAAAAAATGTTCACTAATCAAGAGTCTGGTTATCCCGAGTTAGTCGTCTTGTCTGACTAGTCGGTCAAAGCTGTAGAGGCATCTTAATAAAATTTAAATACAGTAGACTCCCCTGTAACGCGAGTTTTTACATCGCAAATTCGTATAAAGGGCCAAAGATATTATGACTAATGTTTTCATATAACGCGGTTCTTCGTATTATACAACGCGCCAAATAATAAGACAGAGGAATTACCTGATTTTTGAGAATTAATCTTCTTTAGTTAAGCATTAAATTGTTTTCTTCGTCGTTACCGGCTTCTCATGTTTCACTGTTGTTCTCTTTTTTGACGCGGACACTCTTCATATAACGATATGAGTATCAGTACTAAAAAACGCCTGGGGAATCAGTAACGTATTAGTGTCTCGTATTCGCAATTCGAGAAAGGTTACACTTAAAATACGTAAGTATACATAATACCAAAGTATTTTGTAAATTAGATTTATAAAAAAAGTTATTTTTAAGGACACAATGGGTGAAATTAGAAAGAAAAAATTTTTATATGGAAATGCATTTCTCTTACAGAAAAAGTCACAATGTTAAATCGGCTGAAATCTGGGGAAAAAGTAAAAGATATTCCTAAGGAACTGCATTTAAACGAGTCAACAATCCGAATTGTAAGAAAAAATGAAAACAAAATAAGAATGACTGCAACTATTAATTCTTTATCGGTTTTAAGAAAAACTGCGCGCATAAAAGACCCTTTGACATCCAAAATGGAAAAGTGTTTAATTATGTGAATGGATGATTGCAACTAAAAAAAATATTCCTTTATGTAATCATGTCATAAAACAAAAAGCATGCAAAGTTTACACTCATTTAAAACAATCCACTCCTTCTGATAAAGTGCACGGATATGATTTTAAAGGTATCAAGGGATGGTTCGACAGATTTAAAAAAAGAAGAAAGAAAAAAGATTTTTTGAATAGTAAAATACATGGAGAACGAGCTTCAGTTGACTTACAATCGGTCCAGATGTATAAAGAAGAATTTAATAAGATTATAAAGAAGGACCCTATACAGGTGATCAGGTGTTCAATGTTGGTGAAATGGGTTTAATCTGGAAAAAATGAACCAACGAACGTTTATTTCTAAATGTGTGATCTACTCCTGGATTTACATCTTCCAACGAAAGGATAACATTACTTTTATATAATAATGCATCTGGAAAATGTTTAACCAAACCTCTGCTCATTAATAAATCTTAAAATCCATGTACAACGGCGAGACACAACAAGTCTATATTTCCCGTTTAGTGGCAGGCAAATAAGAAAGCGTGGATGACTTTTATAATTTTTTCGTGCCGGATGTCGAACAGTATTTAAAGGAAACAAATTTAAGTTCTAAGGTTTTATTAATAATTGACAATACATGACCAAGGACTTGCAAGATTGTCTAACTCTATATTTAAAACTGTAGAAAGAATTGGAAATAAATACAGCAAATATAATAAAGCAAGATAATAGATTCATTGAACAGATTGAATCTGTAAGTGAAACTAATTCAACAATTGAAAATGAATATTTACATCTACCTAAACGAAGAAGTTGGAATGGAACTTTGGACGATTCGAACAGTGACTAATAATCAAGATTCTAAAAGTATTTTTCAATCTAAAAAGTCTTAAAAAACATAATACATAAATTTGTATAATTACATTTTTAATAAATTTTAATGAAATAAAAGATTTATTACATACATTAATAATGTTTTTTTAATCAACTTTGTATATATGCCATTTATTTAAAAAATATTATTTTATTTGATAAAACATAGAAATTAAAAGTTAATATAGCAATAATAATTTCCAAAAAGGAAAACCAAAACAATTTAATTTAGATAATGCGCGAAAGGTATTAACCGCGTTATACGGAAGTCTACTGTAATCACGGACTGTAGTGCACTTTTTTTCGCACGTGGTTATATTCCGTAATTGAACATGCATTTCGGCCGGTGATCAAAATCGATTGGCTGAAATTTAATAACCGTAACTATGGTTCACTTACGGAATATGTCCTAAACTTGTTAATCAGCACATAGGGCATGCCCTCAAATATATGTATAGGTATATACATACATATATGCATATTTGTTGCTAAGGTATACTTTGGGGACGATTTCATTTACGAAGTCGCTATTTTGAGGACAAGTGGCTGTTTTGGGGACCGTCATCAAAGATTTTCTAGCGTAATCACTGTTTTGAGGACCATAAAGTGGGCTGTCACACCAAATTTGTTTATGTCTTTTCAATGTTAGACATTCAGTATTTGTGATGGGCTCAAAAATGTTTTGTTTTGTTAGATTAGCTCAGAACTCCAATGCTGTGATGTACCAAGGTAGTTTAAAAAAAAAAACATTAGCTTGCTGTTGTAAATGTCCCTTAATTTTTCGTATCCCCAAAGTATTATTTGGCAAACGTATATATATATAGGTAGCTAAGTGGTAAGGTTTTGTTAGGTCCGTAAAATTACGCACTTGAGTAGTGAGCAGAACTGACCTACATGAAATTAGCACTATAACATTTACTTTTTGAACTTTTCTATTGCCAAAAAATTGTTGGCTTTTTGTTGGAACAATTAGAAAATTTGTTGGTTGCTCTTTTTTCTTTTTGGAAAATGGATAATAAAATCTGGAATATGAAGTTAGCCCCAAAAGTCTTATTTTTTACACAAATAACTTTTTTTTGTATGCAATCGATGGCAAATTTTTTGTTGGGACACGAATTAACTAATAAAAAAATTTGTTGGTAAGCGGTTTCAATGAAAACAAAAAGAAAACAAAACCGTTCGCACCGGCTTTTCAACCAATCGTACGGCTTTTTTGAGATATCAAGACTGTAATTGGAGCTAACTTCACACTCCGGAGATGCACTTACGGCTTTTCTTTTCCTACGAAACCGTTTACCAACAAATTTTATAATTAGGTAATCTGTGAACAACAAAAAATTTGACATCGATGAGGTCCTTGTCGACTTATGAGGATGATTTTAATTAAGAAATATGCATTAGATGTATGCAGCCTAGTTCATAGCCACGCGGCATTGTCGATCTCGTTGTCCACGAACGGTTTTGTTTTGTTTTCAACGAAACCGCTCATAAACAAATTTTTTTAGTAGGTAATTCGTAAACAACAAAAAATTTGCCATCGATTAAACACAAAAAAACTTATTTTTATGAAAAAATAAGACTTGGGGCGAACTTCAGATTCCAAATTTCATTTTCCATTTTCCAAAAAAAAAATGAGCAACCAACAATTTTTTAGCAAAAGAAAAAGTTCACAAAGTAAATGTTACAATGCTGACTTCACGTAAGTGGAGAACTGGACATTGCGAAGTGAGAAAGAGATATATCTCTGTCTCAACATGTTGGAGTCACTTTTCTTCTTCCTCTTTTATATATGTTGGCACTAGTTAGGACCCTAGTCCCTTACAAGCGCCCACGGAGTCACTTTTAACTGCGCCATTTCTCTTCCAGGAGTCTAACGGCGTGTTCCGATATACACTGGCAGCAGAGATGAGTAGGGAGATTGCCAATGAGCCTGTTTTTGGTGAAGGCAATTTTTCTCTGGTTTCGGCACGCCACCTTAGCGGAGGGCCCTCGAAGCAGTTCCACGTTTTTGATTGGTCGTGTATATATAGTAATACTACGCGTGATAATCTGGAGCTGTGTTTTGGCGCGTCGACGCGCCACCTGAACGAGACTCTCGAACTAGTTCCACGTTTTTGATTGGTCGAATGAATTCGTGTGTTCCTCGAGATCCGCGATTTTAAACCGGGTGAACACTCAAATAGGGAGACTTGTATCCACCTTTTTTTTACAGGATATTACATAAACCGTAGTAATAAGGTAGTCAATACTCTTAATAATCATATGAAGCTCTGCAAATAATAGAGTAAGCAAATAAAACTTAAAAAAAACTCTCGAACGTGGGTAACTACACAAATATAAGTTTGCTAAA